AACGTCGATTCCCGACGTCGCGGCGGAGTGTCATCGAAAGATGACACATCAATTTTATTTTATTTTTTTTTTTTTTGGAGTTTCATGGTTTGGGATGGGGTAGGGGAGTAAGGCGAGGAATCGCCTTTACATATCTTTACCAATTCCTTGTGTAATAATTTTCTCCTGTCGCTTACCTTTTCCAAACATCGCTTATTTATTATTAGTTCTATTTAATAATACTCTAAAAATTATTCCTTGCTGGACTACTTAAATATGTTTACTCAGATGTAGGTTGAGATAAAAAGAACATAAAGTGCAGGCAGAAGCAGCGTATTGCGTGAATTTATCATCTGCACACTTATCAATTTATCAACTGCGTGAGAGTTTTCCCTGGTGGCTTTCTTCGACTGCTTCATTTTCATAAAATGACGGATCATCCCATTTAAAACCAATAAAAGCCTTTAGTTCACAGCAGAATTCCCGACATTGCTTCAAAGCTCCAAACACAGCTGTAATCAATTCCCAGCTTTTCAATGGGAAATAGCGCTATTATCGTGCAGAAGATCCTGTGTGGACAGTCTAGCGGCAGAATAAATCTCACTACGGTTCCAATACGATTTCGTATCGATGGTAAATTGATACGGACATGCATCAGGGAATCACCATTAGTTTGCTTCTAAGCAACCCTCGAATGAAGAGGCAGTCGTCGAGCAGCTTCGTCTGTAGAGAGTGGACAAAGGGAAGCGACTGATGTAGAAGTTAAGTATGTTCGTGCCAAAAATGGCTTACTTCAGCGTTCAATTCGCAAATGAACTGTCCTTTTAATGATCAGAATGCCAAATATTTTTCATTGTGCGCCAACTACTTAGTTACACCAAGCAAACCAAAACAGCCAAGGCTTTTAGCGTTGATAACCCATACCATCGTGATGCTTACACACGTCGGGCGCAGTTAGCTGAAAAAGCTGTTATCTTGAGAATGACGCTATAAGCTGCATCTAATCGACGCATCAATGAAGGTAAATTGTTAATTGCCACCCTGGATTCGCCATAATCCCACAGTGCATCAAATCTACAACACACTCGCATTAAGGCGTTATGTTGCCTCTGGAATGAATTTTAGTGCTTCTAGGAGCAAAATTCCATTATTGCTCCCGGTTGCTGCAAAAACAAGCCGTGCAAACAGCTTATTGAGTTGTAAAATTAATGGATTTGCAAATATTTCATGTGCAGTTTTCATAAAGCGTGTGAAATTTAATGCTCAAAAAACAAATTCGAAAAGAAGATAAATCAAGTTAAAGTTCGGAATGGGAACAGGAAAATGGTTGCGAAAATTCCGTAAGTTTGCAGGTACATTTGCGGATGACAATGAAGAATTGCTGTACAAAATGTTGCTGGATCCGAAGAGATATGAAAAGGATGTACGGCCAACAGAGCGCCACACTATTTCTACCAATGTCACATTCGGATTTCTTCTTAATCAAATTGTAGAAATGGTACCAAAATCAATGATAGCATTGTAGTAGCCAAGGATTTTAAAAGCAGAAGGGAACAACACAAAAAAATAAATCATTTGGTGTCCTAAAAATCATCTTTATCGTCCTTTTTATAATCATTTTCAGTGCTCC